AATGTCTGCAAATGTAATATATCTGAGTGTATGTTATTAATCATAATTATGGTTAGTATGATAAATTATTGTAGGCCGCAGATATAATCAATTTCTTTTCATTTGTTCGTTTATCATCATTTAAAGCCATTCCCATAGCCAATGGTTTAATTATAATGTAGTTTGTTTGTTTGAGACAGAGTTTTGCTCTTGTTGCCCAAGAGTGCAGTGACATAATCTTGTCTCACTGCAACCTCTGCCTCCTGGGTTCAAGCGATTCTCCTGTCTCAGCCTCTTGAGTAGCTGGGACTACAGGTGCGTGCCACCACGCCCAGCTAATTTTTGTATTTTTAGTAGAGATGGGGATTCACCATGTTGTCCAGGATGGTCTCAATCTCTTGACCTTGTGATCTGCCCGCCTCGGCCTCCCAAAGTGCTGGGATTACAGGTGTGAGGCACCGTGCCCGGCCTTAAAATCATTCTTAGTCGACCAGAAGCATGTACTTGGGATCACAAAATAAATCGCATCTCTGTGCTGTGCCACTTGGGGTGGAAGGGGCAGGATTAAGCAGCTTCTCTTGCATTTTTGTTCCTAAATTTTATTGTATTCATTTTTTTTCTTCCCAGTGATCTTACTTTCAAAATATTTTTGAAATATATATATTTAAAAAATTTTTTAAAAGGGGGTTTCTTGTGTGCATTCATAGAGTATAGTTTTACATGCAGAGGATTTTGCAGCCAAGCTTACATATATGAACAAATGTATGCCTTGATAGGCAAAAGATGAAGGGCCAATGTGGGTGAGAAATTTTTATGAAATATTTGTTTTCTCATAATATCAGAAACAGAATATTCATCCATTGCTCTTACCTTACTTCACAAGTTAAAGAGAATTTATTCAGAATAGGTTAAAGAGCATTGTCAGGAGGCCGTTACTCTTCTGAATGGGCATCATTTTATTATGGTTTAGAATAAATGAGGAAATGGTGAAAAATTTATCCCCCATAATAGACTCTATAGCAGATTCTACTGTAAAGGCTATGGTTACACAATAGACTTTAAATTTTCTTACTAAAGTTGTGCCAAATAGTAGAATTTCTCTAGATTACTTACTGGATAAACAGAAAAGCATTAGCAGTTGCTAATACTTGTAGTTGCACATGGAGAAATATATCAGATGTTACAGAGATTCCGTTGTAGGGGATTACTTAACAGGCTGCTTGGTTAAAATGAGTAGACCATTTATCTAGCTAATTATTTGATCTATTTAATTTTAGTTGGTTGGTTCATGGAGACACTGGCTTTTTAAAAAGCATACTTCAAACTCCTGTTATTATCCTCCCTGATAGTCAAAATAGGAGTCTCCCTACTACACTGTATTCTCTCAAAAGTTTTAAATGTTTGCATGTGGTCTCCTATAGAATGTCAAATAGTCTCTCCTTAACTGGAATGAGAAAAACTAAAAGACATATGTGACGATGAGGACATCATAACCTATGAATGACATGATAAGGAAAAAAACCAAAATAATAAAAACTTAAAGTTGCACTAAGGCCCTGAGTTTTGGTCACACTCTGACCTATATGAGAACTTAACCGAAAAGGGGATATTTTTTAACCAAAATTATTAGAGTCCACCATTCTGGACTGCACTTGTGCAATAGGTCCAAACAGACCAAATCAAACTAAAGTGGAGTCACTTATGCTAAAGTGACTCCATAACGAAGTAACATAATCAAAGTAAAAATTTAAATAAATAGATAGATCCTAAAACAGACCAGATTTTGTTTTTTTTTTCTGTAAACAGCAGATTTCAACTTGAAGAGCTCCCCTTTACTGTAAGCCTTTTATTTTTTATTTATTTTTTATTTTTATTTTTTGAGACGGAGTCTCGCTTTGTCGTCCAGGCTAGAGTGCAGTGGCACGATCTCGGCTCACTGCAAGCTCCACTTCCCGGGTTCACGTCATTCTCCTGGCTCTGCCTCCCGAGTAGCTGGGACTACAAGCGCCCACCACCGCGCCTGGCTAATTTTTTTGTATTTTTAGTAGAGACGGGGTTTCACCGCATTAGCCAGGATGGTCTCGATCTCCTGAACTCATGATCCGCCCGCCTCGGCCTCCCAAAGTGCTGGGATTACAGGCGTGAGCCACCGCGCCCGGCCTACTGTAAGCCTTTTAAAAAAATAAGAACTTGACGTCTTTGTTTCCTTCCACTTTACAAACCCACAGTTCTGCTATTTTACAGTGGAATATGAGACTAATTAAGTAATTTTTTTTTTTTTTTTTTGAGATGGAGTTTCACTCTCGTCACCCAAGCTGTAGTGCAGTGGCACGATTTCAAGACAAGGTTTCACCACGTTGACCAGGCTGGGCTCAAACTCCTGACCTCAGATGATCCACCTGCCTTGGCCTCCCTAAGTACTGAGATTACGGGCATGAACCACCACACCTGGGCAATAAGTACATTTTTGATGGTGCTAAATTGGTATCAATGCCTAAAATTTTGGTCTAACTTTCAAAATTGAGAAGATGAACAAATGAGAGAAATTGTTTAATTATAGCCTAAAGCTGCCCACTTCCATGATTAATTTTGGTCAGTAGGGCTTTTTGTACATAGTAAACTGAAACCTAACTAGATATATGTAATTAGGCTGTAACCCATTCTTGTACCAACCACTGTGTTTTTGACAATAAAATAACATAAACTGTTCCAATCATGTTCAAATTAGACAAATTCAAAGCTGTAATCAATCTGGCTGTTTCTGTATCTCACTTTCATTTTCTGTGTGTCACTTTGATTTTTCTGTCTATAAATCTTTTTCCAGCATGTGGCTGTACTGGAGTCTCTCTGAACCTACTCTGGATCCACAAATCATTCTTTGCTCAATTAAACTTTGTTAAATTTAATTTCTCTAACTTTTTTTAAGTTTTAGATTTGTTTTGTGATGAAAAATAAAGATGTGTTGTTGGGCATTGATTTTGAGAAGCAAGGTGTGCTTCAGCCCTACAAGTAGAAGAGCCCCCTAAGAATCACAGCTGCCCAGTCAACAAGCAGCTGATGACACATGTCTGAAGGAGCTCAGCTGAAAACAGAAGAATGGCCCACTGAACCTAGTCTAAATTGGTGATCATCTCAGTTATGAGCTAAGAAGTTTTGGCTGGTTTGTTATGCTGCAATAGCTAATTAATACATGCACCCGGTGCAGACAGGATGCTAGGATTTAATGACAAGGTTGATTTCTAGTTACCTTCCAACAGTGGGCCCCATAAAGGTACTGATTTTTCTCCTTATTCAAAGTTGGATGTCTTGTAAGAGAATATTGCATAATGCAGAAATACATGTAGACATGTACGCATGTGATTGGTGCTTATACTCACACAGTTCCCCACACCACAGGAGAAAACAGGTAACCACAGCTTGACAATTAGGGTCAAGGGCAAATAGCAGAATTAGTCTGTTTTTAATTCGAGGTAAAGACTAGGGACATGGCCTAGCATGGTGGTTCACGTCTGTAATTCCAGCACTTTGGAGGGCTGAGATGGGTGGATCACCTGAGGTCGGGAGTTCGAGACCAGCCTGACCAACACAGTGAAACCCCATCTCTACTAAAAATACAAAAATTAGCTGGGCATGGTGGCGGGCGCCTGTAATCCCAGCTACTCGGGAGGCTGAGGCACTAGAATCGCTTGAACCCGGGAGACAGAGGTTGCAGTGAGTTGAGATTATGCCATTGCACTCCAGCCTGGATGACAAGAGCAAAACTCTGTCTCAAAAAAGAAAAAAAAAAAAAAAGAAAGAAAGAAAGAAAGACCAGGGAGGGATCTGTAGACATAGAGCTTTCTTATTCTGTGGCCCCATTGTCCTTTGTTCACTGTCTGATCTCTGGAAGAAAGGTGGACAACAGGTGGTCTTCCTGTTGTGATTTTATTCCTGCCGTCCTCTGCTCTTTCTATGGCCACTATCTGTTCTACCCTTGGAACTGAAGAGAGATGTTGGTAGGGAAAGACTTTCTCCTTATTTATGGCAGGAAAAGGATGTTCAAGCCCGGTGTGGTGGCTCATGCCTGTAATCCCAGCACTTTGGGAGGCTGAGACAGAAGGATTACTTAAGGTCAGGGGTTCAGCCTGGCTGACAAGGGAAAATTCCATCTCTACTAAAAATACAAAAATAAGCCAGGCATGGTGGCACATGCCTGTAATCACAGCTACTCTGGGGAGGATGAGGCAGGAGAATCGCTTGAATCCAGAAGGTGGAGATTGCAGTGAGCCGAGATTGCACCACTGCACTCCAGCCTGGGCCTAAGAGCGAGACTCTGAAAAGAAAAGAAGAGAAGAGAAAGGAAAAGAAAGAAAAAAAGAGAACAGAAAGGAAATAAAAATAAAAGAAAACAGCAAAGGGATGTTCAGGATTTCATCTTCTGCTGTCAGAGCTGCACTTCAATGTGGCAGCTATTGGCCACGTGTGGCTACTGGGTGCATGGAATGTGGCTGGTCCGAACTACGATGTGGTAAGAAAGGTAAAATACATAGTTTTAATGTTTTTTTCCCAAAATATATATAGTTTATTAATAATTACATACTGGTCACATATTAAAATAATATTTTGGATATATTGGGTTAATTAAATTCCTACAATGAATTCCTTCTGTTTATTTTTTCTTTTTAAAATTTTCCTTCTAGAAAATTTAGAATTCACATGTGGCTCACATTCAATTTCAGAGGATTGCCTTTTTAAAAAAAATGTCAGGCTACCCGCTCAAAGGACAAGAAGCCAGGGAGCTCATAAAATTGGAAAATTTTAAACAATTGTTATTGCATTATTTTTATGTGTGAATAGCCACATATTATTTATAAAGGCAAACGACCTCCACTCAGGGAGGAAGCCCTGCATGAGAACGCTGCAGCTTGAATTTCACTCTTTCTTCGTTCAGCCCAGCAGCTGAGCACATATTCTGTCACTCAGGGCATTAGGGGGTGGAGCCCTAAACATTATCCAATCAGGGACGCTGGAATGGGACCCGTCCAATCAGGCACGCAGCTGGAGCGGACAGGACGGCTTCCGGGATTTGGCGGGGCCTTTGTCTCTAGCTGCAGCGGGAGCTCCAGGTCCAGTCTTCACTGCTCTGTGTCTTCTGCTCCTAGAGGCCCAGCCTCTGTGGCCCCGTTACCTGCAGGTATTGGGAGATGCACAGCTAAGATGCCAGGACCACCTGGAAGCCTAGAAATGGTGAGAGTGCCGGGTCCGACACCCCAGGAGAGGGGGAGGGGCTGGTTGGAACCGGTCGGAAGTGACTGTGGCAGGACTCCAGCCTCCCAGCACTGGGCTCCAAAATCCGCGGCCCGAGTTGTCCTTGGCGCAGCTCGGCCCTCGGTCCCCTTCAGCCATAAGATGGCGGCTGGGCTGACAGCCGGACCCCGGGCGTCCTGTCTCCTCCCTGTGCAGTGACTGTGCCTTGGCCTGTAGCCCTCGCTGGGCAGCTCTGCAGCCGCAGTGCCGCATCTCTGCCTGATAACTCGCAGTACCAGGTTCATAATGGGAAGAGCTTTGGTCCGTGGGGTCCCAGTCCCTCCTTTTTTCTATTAAAAATTCATGGAAGTCACCGCAAAAATATTTAAAAATGTAATAGAAGAGTGGTTCAAAAATCGTAGAGCACCCAGCTATGATTTGTAATTTGTGGTCCATGGGAGGGGCTTGAAGGAAAGACTTTTAAGTGGTATGTGATAAATAAAACCAAATTCAGTAATCGGTTAGGTACAGTTACATAGCTTCTTAATTTGTACGATCAAGGTGGAAATTTTCTGATTATGTAATCGGAGGGTACTTGGCAGTTTACAGTTGGTTAAGCATAAATTTTATTTCCCCCAATGTAACAATTTACAAAAAAAAAAAAAGGATTTGAGTTAGATTTTTTTTTTTTTTTTTTTTTTTTTTTTGAGGTGGAGTCTCGCTCTGTCGCCCAGGCTAGAGTGTGCAGTGGCGCGATCTCGGCTCACTGCAAACTCCGCCTCCCAGGTTCACGCTATTTCCTGCCTCAGCCTCCCGAGTAGCTGGGACTACAGGCGCCCGCCACCACGCCCAGCCAGTTTTTTGTATTTTTTTAGTAGAGACGGGGTTTCACCGTGTTAGCCAAGATGGTCTCAATCTCCTGACTTCGTGATCCGCCCGCTTCGTCCTCCCAAAGTGCTGGGATTACAGGCGTCAGCCACCGCACCCGGCCCTAGTGTACATTTTTGATACTGTATTTTAATTAATCATTGTTTGAGAAATCATTGGATGATACTTTTTAAAAGGTTTGTTTTCTGTTTGTAAAAATTTTCTATAAGAAGAAAGCAAAGAGTAATCCCCGGACACTAGTGTAAAAAACCTCTGTGCCTCTTTTCCTTTTATCTTCCCTAGTCACAGAGATCTTACCAGAATTTTGGGGGTCAGGGTTTCCCTTTGGAAACTTTATGGGGTGATGTGTCCTCGGCCACCCTTCAGATTTTTCCTGGTCCTGGGTTTCAGTACTGTCTGGGAATAAACCATGATACCCACTGTGGCTATGTCTGCCAGAGTGCCTAATGAATATCAGCTGGTGGGTCATTTTCTCCCGTAGGACTGCCTGAGGTACAAAGTGTAGCCTCTCCAGGGAGCAGGTGGACGCCCTGGGGCTGAGAGAAATCTGGTGTACACTTCCTTGGAAAAGCTGACCCCTTGAGACATTACGATTGTCTTCACCCAACTCAGCTTCTGTTTCTTTGGGACACATTGCTGGTCAATCAGATGCTGGTATTAAGGGAAAAACATAGAAATAATTTCTGCCTTTGGGATTCTCTAAAGGGGCAGAAAAATAGTGCAAAAATGATGAAAAAAGAGTGAAAGACAAATAGTGAAACATTTGTAGAGGAAATTAAAAAGTAAGAAAATATTTACAAATGGTATAGAAGAGGTGAGTTTCAGAAAAAAATTAATATCTACGTATATTCCATTTGTTAAAAATTCTCATGTACTATTTTGTTTTCCAGACCGAGTTTAGTAATTGTCACAGGTAGTTTTTTTTATGGCTGGATAATTTCTTTTCTTTTTCTTTCTTTCTTTTTTTTTTTTTTTTTTTTTGGGAGACAGTCTCATTCTGTCACCCAGGCTGGATGGAGTGCAGTTGCACGATCTTGGCTTACTACAACCTCTGTCTCTCGGGTTCAAGCGATTCTCCTCCCTCAGCCTCCTGAGTAGCTGAGACTACAGGCGCCAGCCACCACGCTCAGCTAATTTTTGTATTTTTAGTAGAGATGGGGAGTTTCACCATGTTGGCCCGTCTGGTCTCAAACTCCTAGTCCTAATCAAGGTGCTCTACCCACCTTGGCCTCCCAAAGTGTTGGGTTCACAGGCGTGCCGCATCCAGCCTAGCTGGGTAATTTCACACAGAATTACAGGCCTTAACTTTTAGAATGCTAGCTATCTAGGGAAAAAAATAGAGAACATCTCTCTTCCATTTTGGCTTTAGAAAATGAATACATTTCCGGCCGAGTGGCCGGGTGCAGTGGCTCACGCCTGTAATCCTAGCACTTTGGGATGCCAAGCGGGGGGTGGAGCACTTGAGGTCAGGAGTTCGAGGCCAGCCTGGACAACATGGTGAAGCCTTGTCTCTACTAAAAATACAAAAATTAGCCGAGCATGGTGGCACATGCTTGTAATCCCAGCTACTTGGGAGGCTGAGGCAGGAGAATTGCTTGAACCTCGGGGGCAGAGGTTGCAGTGAGCCGAGATCGCACCACTGCAATCCAGCCTGGGCGAAAGAGTGAAACTTCGTCTCAAAAAAAAAACAGAAAAGAAAAGAAAATGAATACATTTCCACCAGAAAATGTGGTAGATAATTGGTGAAGGTACATAGATTCTTGAAAACATTAGTACCTCTTTTTGCAAGGTGAATTTGTGACATTGAATATTTCTAGTCTATACCCTGTTATCTTGATTTCTGAGTTTCATGCTAAATTTTATGAGATAAAACTTGGTACCTCCTAGAAGTGTTTCCATATGACTAATTGTTTACTACATAATTTTTAATGGAAATAATAAAATAATACATTTATTATCTAAAAGGAATACTTTTGCTTTTCCTATTGAGATGTAAAATGTAAGCATCTTCAGAAAAGTCCTCCCTGACCAGGCACAGTGGCTCAAGCCTGTAATCCCAGCACTTTGGGAGGCTGAGGTGGGTGGATCACCTGAGGTCAGGAGTTCAAGACCATCCTGGCCAACATGGCGAAACCCTGTCTCTACTAAAAAATAACAAAAATTGGCCAGGCGCGGTGGCTCACGCCTGTAATCCCAGCACTTTGGGAGACTGAGGCGGGCGGATCATGAGGTCAGGAGATTGAGACTATCCTGGCCAACATGGTGAAACCCCATCTCTACTAAAAAAAAATACAAAAAAATTAGCCGGGCGTGGTGGCAGGCGCCTGTAGTCCCAGCTACTGGGGAGGCTGAGGCAAAATGGTGTGAACCCGTGAGGCAGAGCTTGCAGTGAGCAGAGATTGCGCCACTGCGCTTCAGCCTGGGGGACAGAGTGAGACTCTGTCTCAAAAAAAAAAAAAAGAAAAAGAAAAAAATACAAAAATTAGCTGGGTGTGGTGGCAGGCGCCTGTAATCCCAGCTCTACTACGGAGGCTGAAGCAGGGAGATTGCTTGAACCCAGGAGGTGGAGGTTTCAGTGAGCTGAGATCTTGCTACTGCACTCCAGCCTGGGTGACAGTGTGAGACTTCGTCTCAAAAAAGAAAAAAAAAAATTCCTTCCCTTACTTGAGCACTGTGTTCAAGTAATTTTGCTGAATGTTCAAACTGTTAGTTTCAAAAGCGAAATGAATAACTCAGACATGAAAATTAAAGCTTGAGCCCAGTGACTCCAAGCTAAGGCTAATATTGACCCTGCAAAAGGCCTAGCTCTTTTTGGGGAGCCTCCCCTGCAGATGTCTCAGGCTGCTCACCCCAGCCACGGAAGAAGCCTTTATACTGAGAAAAGCTACAGAGCCCTGGAAAGCTGAGGAGGCACAGGCAGATGCAGTTAAGGTTAAGATGGAAGGGGATTGGGAGGGTCTTACTAAAGTTGAAGTTGTTTTTTTGAGGCAGTTTCTGGACTTTGTAAAATAAAACGCAGATTTATGTAAAAAAAATTTATAATTTCAAAGGAGGAAGCACCAACTATAAATCTTTAAAGATTGCAAAGTTTAGGCAGACTAGAGCTTGCTTTCTTTCTTCTTTTTTTTTTTTTTTTCAGTCAATTTTGAGATTTATTTTGGTAATGTTGAGGACACACTGGGGAGAAAGAGAGACAAGTCACAATAGGATCTGTGTCCTGTGCTTTTTCCAAAGAGTGTTTTGGGAACTTCAGTATTTAAAGAGGAAAGAGCAAGTGGGAGGGCCGTGAGGCTCTGATTAGCACTCAGTGAATCTATATTTTACATGTGCAAAGAAAGGGTTCAGGGGAAGTCAATCATACATTCCCCTTTCTCTCTCTCCCTCAGTAAATCTACATTTTATACAAGATAAAGTAAGCATGTGAAATTACAGCTATCTGTTTGGGAATAAAAGGAAGCCAATCTTTGCATGACCCAGTCCCCAGCTTAACTTTTGGCATAGTGAGTTCAGCGTCCCAAGAGTTTATTTTCCTTGCACATGTATCTATAATTTTTGATGTTACCAAAGTCAAGGGCAAAGTTTTCATTAGGAAGTTGGCAACTTCTAGAAAAGGCTTTATTCATTTGAGGGGCTGTAAGGTACATGGATGTGCTTTGGTCAGGAATAGGCCGAGGCAGACATCCGGGCCAGAGTGACTCAGCAAGTTTGGAGCACAGGCATATAAATCCACTTGGTTTTTTTGTTTGTTTAGATTTTTGTTGTTTTTGAGACGGAGTCTTGCCCTGTCGCCCAGGCTGGAATGCAGTGGTGCGATCTCAGCTCACTGCAACCTCTACTTCCTGGGTTCAAGCAATTCTCCCTCAGCCTCGTGAGTAGCTGGGATTACAGGCGCCCACTACCACACCTGGCTAATTTTTTATATTTCTGGTAGAGGCAGGGTTTCACCATGTTGTCCAGGCTGGTCTCAAACTCCTGACCTCAAGTGATCCACCCACCTTGGCCTCCCAAAGTGCTGGGATTACGGACTTGAGCCACTGTGCCCAGCCAGGGAGGACTTATTATATAGTCACAGTTATGTAGCCATAACATGGGAAGGTTCATCACCTGACTCA